TAAGCACTGCTTTTGCTCTATCCCACAAATTTAGTCAGTTGTATTTTCATTTCACTTTATTCAAGATATTTCAAAATCTTCTTCTATGACCCATGCATTATTTAGAAGCATGTGGCTTATTCTACTGGTAATTTGGGATTTTTCCAGCTATCTTTCTGTATATTGAAATATAGTTTAATTTCATTGTGTTGTAAGAACATACTTAGTATACTTTCTATTCTTTAGAATATGTTAAGATGGCCAGGCTCTGTGGCACATGCATGTAATCTCAGAGGCTCGGGAGGCTGAGATAGGAGGATCGRGAGTTCAAACCCAGCCTCAGCAAAAAGCGAGGTGCTAAACAACTCAGTGAGACCCTGTCTCTAAATAAAATACAAAAAAATAGGACTGTTGATGTGGCTCAGTGGTCAATTGCCCCTGAGTTCAATCCCTGGTCCCCCTGCCCTCCCCCAAATATGTTAAGATGTATTTTATGACTCAGAATGTGATCTATTTTGGTAAAATGTTCCATAATTATAGTATTTTATAAAAGTCAATTAGATCCAGTTGGTTGGTGGTGCTATTCTGAATAGGAACTGTTCTGACTGCTGTTATGCCTACTGGGTCCATTAATTAATGAATATGGGTTATTGAATTCTTCAGTGGTGATAGTGGATCTCTTTTGTAGTTCTCAGTTTTTTGCTCATGTATTTTGACAGTTCGGTGTTAGATATATATATGTTCATTAAAGCTTGTGTTTTGGGGGCCAGGCATCGTGGTGCATGCCTATAATCCTAGCAGCTTGGGAGGCTGAGGCAGAAGGATTGCAACTTCAAAGCCAGACTCAACAACTTTGCAAGGCCCTAAGCAACTTAGCAAGATTCTATATCAAAATGAAATATAAAAAAGGGGCTAGGGATATGCCTCAGYGGTGAAGCAATCCTAGGTTTTTCYAGCTATCTTTCTGTATAGAAATATRGTTTAATTTCATTGTGTTGTAAGAACATACAAAGTACCCCAGTACCAAAAAACCTCCAAAAGACTGTTTTTTTTTTGAGAATTGATTACTTTCTTTTTCAACATTTTAATTTTTAGTTGTAGTTGGACCCAATACTTTTATTTTATTTGTTTATTTTTATGTGGTGCTGAAGATTGAACCCAGGGCTATTTTTTATGTGGTTCTGAAGATTGAACCCAGGGCCTTGCACGAGCTAGGCAAGAGCTCTACCGCTGAGCCACAACCCTAGCCAGAGAATTGATCACGTTTATCACTAAATAATGTCCCTCTTCATCTCTGACAGTTTTTCTTGATCTGAAGGCTACTTTGTCTGAAATTCACATAACTACACAGTTTTCTTTARATTAGTGTTAACATAATATATATTTCTTAACCTTTTTACTTTTAATATACCTGGGCTTTCATATTTAAAGTGGGTTTTTTATAGAAAACATATACTGTATTTKATAGAATARTTATTGTTACCACAATTATGTATATTCATTAGAATTCTGTGCATCCTAATCTTGCAGCAAAGACAGTGTAGTAATAAACAATTATTAAGTAATAACAGCACAATTGAAAAAAAATTAACATAATAGTTGCACCCCACTTTTTTGCAAAAAGATGTGACAAAAAATCTGTGATGATTATGTGGTGAAATACTATATTTGGTCTTGGTTTTTAAAAATCCATTTCTATAGTCTCTGTTTTTTTATTGATTTTAAAAAAAATAAATGACAGTGGGATGCATTACAATTCTTATTACACACACATATATATAGTCTCTGTTTTTTAATTGGAAGATTTAGACTATTCACATTTAAAACAATTGTGCATATTGTTGGATTAATGTGCGCCATTTTTGTTTTCTATTTTTTTAAAATAAATATTTATTTTTCAGTTATATATGGACACAATATCTTTATTTTTATGTGGTGCTGAGATCAAACCCAGTGTCTTACACATGGTAATTGAGTGCTCTACCTCTGAATCACAACCTCAGCCCCTTGTTTTCTGTTTGATATAYACATTCTTTTTTTCAATCTTTCCCTCTTTTTATACCATCTCTGTTTGAWGAAACATTTATATGATTTTTTCCTTCTATCTTTGTATATCAATTATACTTYTAAAATGTGCCATGGTTGCCTTAGAGTTTATAATGTGTATTTACAACTCACCTACTTTCAATTAATATTCTATTGCTTCATAACAGAGCATTTCTAATTCCTCCCTCCCATCCTTTCTAATATTGCTGTGAYTTATTTCAATTATACATATGCTGTGATCACCTGATACATTATTGCTGTTATTATTTTGAATAATTATTAAGGACAAAAATTTTAAAATTTTATTTTACTTTCATTTATTTCTTCTCTGTAACTCTTTCTTCCTTTATGTAGATTTTATTTTCTGACTAATATCATTTTTMTTCTCTCTGAAGAATATTTAATCTTTCTTTCAGAGCAAGTCTATTAGTGACAGGGTTCATTTAGTTTTTGTTTGAGAGTCTTTAACTTCACTATCATTAATTTTGGGAAATTTTCAGCCATTATTTCTTTGAAGTCTTTCTCTTGGTCCTTTTTCTCTTGTTCTTTCCATGAATGTATTCTATACCTTTGTACTTAATCCCATATCTTTTGGATATTGTGACTTTTTAATTCATTTTTTTTCTCTTTGCATATMAGTTTGAGAAGTTCCTACTGACATCTTCAATCTCACCAATTCTTTCCTGGTCAGGGTCAAGACGATTGACAAAACCCCATCAAAGGCCTTCTGAATTTCATTTACAATATTTTGATTTCTAGCATTTCTTTTTGATTCTTTCTGAGAGTKTCTGTCTCTTTTCTTCCATTACCCATCTGCTCATATACATTATTTACTTTTTTCCATTAATTACCTTAACATTTTAATTAGTTATTTTTCCTTTTTCCTTTCTACTACAAAAAAATAGATACTATTATTTTAAATTTCCTATAAATTCCAGAATCTGTGTAACACCTGAGTCTGGTCACTAAGTTTGCTTTATCTTTATGTACTTTTCAAAATGCCTTGTAATCTACTGTTGAAAGTCAGGTATTATGTATCAGGTAAAACAAACTGAGGCAAATACGCCTTTCTTTTTTTCTTTTTGAAATATTGGGGATTGAATGCAAGGACACTTTACCACTGAGCTGTATCCCTAACCCTTTTAACTTATTATCTCACTAAGTTGTGAGGCTGGCTTTGAACTTGTGATCAGCCTCCTGAGTCATTAGGATTACAGACATGCACCCTTGCACCTGGTGCAAATAGGCTTATAGTGTGGGGGGTTTTATGTTAATTTGGTCAGAAGTTGATCTGTGTTTAATATTTGCTGTAGTTGTTGGTGCTAGAGGTTTGGTGTATGCTAGTGTCTTTTTAAAAATCCCCYTTTCTGGCTGTCTTTGCGTTTCCCTATGTACTCCTTCTTAAATAGACTATGTGTCTTGCAGGTCTCAGTTTTAATTCCCCACTTTCATACTAGAGTCCTGTTGAGGTGGTGGTAAAGTGTTGGGGAGACAGAGTCATAATCTTATGACTAAATTTCATTCTTTTAATGTCCTGAGCCCCTGGGCTATGACCTTTAGAAACATCTCCCCCTCCCCATCACCACTTTGTAGTTGATCAGGACTGGAAGGACTGGCATTGACTACTTGCTCTTCATTCAGATCAAGATAGGTTCCAGCAAAGTCTTTTCTCTTGGGAACATTCTTTGTTATGGAGAATTCTCTTGGATGTATTTTTAAATGATTAGTTTCCCCTGTCTGAAGGAGGAGGAGATTTTTCTTGAATCTTCACTATGAGAACCTGGTGGTGTTCCTGGAGGTAAACCCATTGAAATTCGGTAGCTTTCCTATGACTGGGATCCAAAGAGGTTTTCACTCTTAAGCTTGTCCACCTCATCCTTTAGCAATTCATTGAAGTTACTGTTGAAATACTTCTACTAGTTTATGACTTCAGCAGTTTCTACTTAAGGTTATTTGATCTTGGTTGTAATTCTCTGAATCTGCCTGTCTTTCTAGTTTTCAGGGTGGCAGTTTGCCCCACCACCTCAACTCTTGGATGGAGCTACAAAACTTATTGCTTTGCAGTTTGTGAAGCCTTTGTTCTTATTAGGAGGATGGGAGTGATGATGACTTACAAGGTTTTTACCTGTCAGATGGGAAACTGGAAGTAAACAGCTTTGAAAAAGGTGGTTTATTTTTCTCTCACACAAATGGACTAGCCCAGGGCGGGTATGGTAATACTGTGACCATCCTTTTATCTTGTCACTCTGCCATCCTWAGCATGTAGCCTCCACCTTATATTTGGAAATGGATTTTTTCATTCTTCAGCCATCATCATTTGGTATTCCACCATTGTACAGGAATGATGAAGAAAAAAGGGAGATAAGAGTTTTTTTTTCTTTAAGGCACCCTTTTATTCAAGGATACTTCCCAGAAGGAGCTCTTGGTACTTTTGATTATATCCAGAACTACTAGACTCTAAGTTTACATGGCTATATCTACCTGGAGTACAATTTGGGCAAGTTGTCATGTGGAGCTAAATATGCTTAGAATTAGTAGTCTCTATTACAATGATGTCCCAAGGCTTTCTTCAGATTCTGAAAGGTGTCTGATAACAAACAGTTTAAGAAATCCTGCTTTACAAAAATATTGGCATAAACACACCCAGAATATGAGACCTATGCAGTGTCCAATTCAGTTTACTTACCTTTGCTAAAGGCTTGCCTTGGGTCAGTCATTGGGCTGATAATAAGGAGTCCTTATCTACCCTCAGGGAGTTCCCAGTTTGGTGTGGTGAGACTCCAGCTCATTGTTGGGCATGGTTGTAGTATTACCTATGCCCCGCAGTCTCCCTCTTTAAAGAATGGAATCCTATGTTTCCTGTCTTGCCTGGCTGTAGTAGCAGTGATGCAGAGGTATGTAGATGTGGTAGAAGCCAGTTACTGCAAGGTGTGGGAGAAGAAAAGGGTAGTGGGATGCTGGGTCCCACTGTTTGACTTCCCCAGAGAGCATATTGATTTCRGAGCAAGCCACTGTGAAACATAATGAAGAAAACATATTGTGTGTAAGTCAAGTGGGTTCTACCCAGAAACCATTAGCATAAAAAAAAGCGGACCCAGAAGTTTCCCTAGTACCAGGAGATTTCTGAGGGCATCAATTCTGAACCCATCAAGAATGAGGATGGTACATTTGCCATACTAGCAACTTGAAGCTGAAGTCCTCTCTGGAAGATAGGGGGACCATCTACTAGTGTGTGGTATGGCACATATCCTTGCACAACCCCTAGACAGTGAACTACACACTGAATATTACAGGTGAGCATCTTCCTGCACATTTCCCCTACTTTTAAGCTTATGGGTGTGTAACTTAAAACTTTGGTCCCCAGGGAGTCTAGGGTCTTTGTCTAGGGGGTGATGGGTAAGGAGAGGAAGTGTTGACTGAAGAGAACAAGCTTTGGTCTGGTTCAAGTCAGCTCCAGAGTTAGCTGCCCACATTAGATCCCTAAACCAGGGCAGATGGTCTGATTGGTGGGGAGAGGTGATAGTAGTTGTCAGATGGAAATAGGGCTATTTGTCAGCTCATGGCAGCTTCAGTGTTCTGGGTGTCTATGTAGCTTGCACTGGCTGCTGCTAGAGGAATAAAGACAAGATCCTGTCCATGGCTCCTGAGGATAGGGGTTATCAGGAACCAGGGACCAGCTCCGCCAGGACCTGCCCTTCTAGTCAGGCTCCATGTCCACTATGAACTCTTGACTGAAAGGTTAAATCAGTAGTCCTGTCTTATAGGCTGTGTCCCAAGATGAGGAGGCCACTGTAGGATGGTCCTGAAGATGCCCAGGGCTTTCTGCAGGCACATCAAATCCTTAGGATAACACAATTTACTGCAGAACCCCTCTTGCTAGTGGGGTGGGGTTTTTTGAGCTTACATACTGGTTGCCTTGGTCATGGCTCTGGTCTTGGATAGGATGACCCTGTGGATCAAATGCATCTTCCAGAGCTGAGAGGTGTAAGGAAGGTAAGGGCTACCTAGGGACTCTGAGGGATGTGATCTGGATGTGCCAGATGGCTCCTAGAGGGAGAAAGGAACTGTTTCTGGAGGTAAGGGCCAGAGGTATGTGTGAGTGGGGTGTGCAGGATGTATGCGGGGGGGGGGGGGGGGGGGGGGGGGGGGGGGGGGGGGGATGGGGAGTGTGAAATTGAAACATGCTCTGTGTGGATGGCATGAGGGGTTTGTCTGGGTGATAAGAATATAGATGATAGAAGATGGTGTGGTATGGAAACTTTGAAGATGAGTGTGGTATGTGTATGAGGTGTGCAGTGTGCAATAGTGTAATTTTTCTGACATGTGATAAATACTCTCATGTGTGAAATAATACACGATAGGAATAGAGGTGCTGAGATATGTGGCAGAAGGTGGGTGGTTAGATCTCTGACAGGGAAAATGACATTAATCACATAGATTCTAGTAGCAATTTTGTGGTCCCTTTGGGCCTTGTGAGTAGGTTTCATTCTTTCCCCTGTTTTGGACTGATTGTATCACTTGCATTTTATTGTTGTAAAAGGTAAGGAGTTCCTCAGTAAAATGTAGCCTTGAGTCTTGAACTTGGCTCCTAGAGTTCTTTTTTTTTTTTTTTTTTTGAGAGAGAGAGAGAATTTTTTAATATTTATTTTTTAGTTTTAGGTGGATACAATATCTTTATTTTTAAATTTTTTTTATGTGGTGCTGAGGATCAAACCCAGAGCCTTGCACATGTCAGGCGAGTGCGCTACCACTTGAGCCATATCCCCAGCCCTAGAGTTCTTGATCACAGGAAAGACTGTAGGCTGTTCTTAGGATTGAAGCTGGGATATTGTGTGTGTGTGTGTGTGTGTGTGTGTGTGTGTGTGTGTGTGTGTGTTCTGATGTGTTGGGGAAGAACTTTCCCATCTGATTTCCATGTGCTGCTTTGTGAAGCGGGGGAGACACATTGAGGAACCTCCCTGTGTCTCTCCATATAATATGAGGTTCACAGTGAATTGAACCTGACCTTATTAGTTCAGAGATGAGGTCTTTGAACAGTGTGGTCTGCATTATTCTCATACCTACAGAAACTGCTGGCTGAGACAGGGAAATTCCTTCCCCTACTTGCTCATATTTTATTAGTACCTCAATGGATTGACTTACCACTAGATCTTACTGGTTTGACTGAGAATTCCTGACCTTCACTAGAAGTTTCTAAACTCAATCCCCAACTATGGCCCAAATAGCAAATAAAATAGCACAAGCGTTAGAGGCCCAAGGGACCAATGTAAATGTGTTGGTTAAAATGGTTCTAGAAAAACACATTGCTATCAAATATTTATGGGCCTGCCAAGGCAAGATCTGCAAGAGTATAAATACTTCTCACTGTAAATGTGTTAGGGAGAGCTATCAGTCAATGAAAAAAACCACTTATCCAAGACTGATTCAAGAGATTTATTCTCCTAGTTGGATCTAAGCTAATGAAAAAACTGGATCTAAAGTGGTTTTCAAATGTTTCTTGCAATATTTGTGATTACTGTCATATTTCTTGCCTTTCTCTGATATCCAGATACTATCATGACAGACAGACATATGGCAATGACACCACTGAAAGTGAAAGAGAAGGCTATGATCAGCCTGGGTCCAGGGGTAGCTTGCACAGACAGCTCCATCCTACACTGTGAAGAGCAGGCTATGCTCTGATCTCAGTTACTTCATGAGATACAGAATAGTGGTTTGCAGGTTGTGCCTGACCCTGAGTTAATCCATTTTAGAAAGCAGTAGTTTGCCATAAGCTACTCCATTTTGAGACAACTGCCAAGGTAAAATGATTCTGTACTTTCTTTGTACAAGGAAACAACTACTATCTGTCCTGTGCTATTGGTAGATATACAAAGATCAGGTGAGTAGAAATAGAATGACAGGGAAGAAGGAAGAGAAAGAAGAAGGTAAATGAGATGAATTTAGCAAAATCATGTTATATTTATATATAAAGATACCAAAGGGAATTTCATTTTTATGCATATATAGAAGAAAGGTAGTTTAATAAAGGAGAGAAGGGAGAATAAGAGGAGAGAAGGGGGGCATAATGGGGCTTGAAATCAAATTCCTTGCATGTATGAGTTTGTAAAAATTAACCCAATTACTATATAATTATGATGCTCTAATAAAAATATTTTTAAAAATCCTTTTCTGACCATCTACATTGACTATCTTTGCCTTCTTATCTCTCTCTGCTTGTGTTCTTGGCTCAGCATACTGGAACCCTGCAGCCACGTTAACTATTTCTTAGTTTTTCTGTGATCACTCTATACATCATTGTGYGAAGTATATGATTTGAATGTTAGAGATATTAGAAATTAAGATTGGAATGGAATAAAAGAACTTGTGTTTGCCCAGTTTATGACTATCAGGTTGGTTTCATAACAAGAAGTGGGTAGCCTGACTTCCCTCATCTGTGGAGCTCAGGACGAAGGCTTGGGACATGTTACACCATTGATGTAAGTTGGTGACAGAAGTTTAGCAGATCTTCCCCCTCTGGCTGCATCATCACTGACTGGGAACAGAGTAGCCTGGAAGGCAAGGAGCCCAGGGCTTATGCAAGCAGGAGGAGGAGGGAAGGTTCACCATACATGTAGCTCAGAGAAAGTATCTGTGAGGCCCCTCAGATACTGGGTGTTTGGAGCATAATCTGCACTGTCATTTAACATAGCTGAGCCTGCTGTCAGTCTCAAATCTGGGACTCAGAGAGACCCTGGGAACTCCCGAGTTACACTATATATTTTGATCATGTGGGGGCAAGGATGGCTTTGTCCAGCTATTGAGGAACTTTCCAGCTTCTCTCTAATCTAAGCCTGAAGGCTGGGGATCTCCCTTAGAGTGGTCAGAAATGGAAGGACCAGCAGCTCCAGTTTTCCGGGATCATGTAAGTCTTCCTTGTGGCCAGAAGGTGGCGCTGAGACCCCAGTTCTGCAGATGTCAGGCTTCACCAGCCACTTAAGGTCTGTGAGGGATTGGAGGAAGATTATTCTGGATGGGACTCCAAAGATGCTGTGACCAAGGGGCTCCTTGTTAGTGACTCTGGCCTCTCCCATGGCCTTAGGGTTTGACCAAATTAAGTTCCAAAAGCCAGACCCTCAAAACTCAGGGCAGACTCTGACTAGTTTTTCAATCTCTTCTTTGAACCAGAAATGGGTCAGCTTTGCAAGGAAGGGAATCAGTGCCAGGGACTATGTGGGTGGAGGAAGAAGAAAGTTTATAGCTCACACAAGCAGCAGCAACTACCTGGACCCCTTGGCTTTCTCTTGGCAGCCTGTGACAGACCCTTACTGATCCAACCACAGCCCAGTCTGCAGGCTTCTTTTTAGTAATGACTCTGGCTTGTGGTTTGGTACATCATCCATCCATCTGTCCATCATGCATTCATCGATTCCTTCACTCAGTACCTACTCAGTGTCAGACCCAATGTTGAACCAGACACAATTCCTAATCCCAAGGAGCCATGAACTTTGGGGTCATAAACATAGGCAGAGGAGACTGCTCAGGGAAAGGACAGTTTCTCCCCAGAGAAACCAGGAAAGGCTTTGAGGAGACATCACTGGGTCTGAACTTCTATGGATTTTAGCAGAGATGAGGCCTGGGCAGCTCAGGCAAAGGGGAAATCATAACGAAAGGCTTGAAAGTCAGAACCTCAGTTATGTGCAAGGAGGGGACACACAGATAGTTAGGGAACTGGCTGAATCAGGGTGCAAATTATTCTGGCAAGAGAACAGTGGAATGTAGGGTAGAAAGGAGTCAAGTCCTGAAATGGCTGGCTAAGAAGTCTAGCCTGGATCCAGAAAGTAATGGGAAACTACTGAAGGGACTTCATGTGGGAGGAAATGATCATAACCCTTCTAAGACCACTTATATGGCTATAGGTTGCCACAACCCCTCTAATCCTGAGCTGGAAGGGACACTGTATAGAAAGTAAGACTAAGCAAAGAAATGTATCACTGTAGTAAACTATAAACACACTTTCTCTCTTAATGCTTGCTTGGTCAGTTTTCTCATCTTATGGTTGATTTGGAAGCAATCACAACAATTAACTATTGAACACTTATTACAGACCAGGCACTTTGACATTTACATATGCTTTTCACTTACGCCTACAGTTCTATGAAGTAGATACAGTTAGCATAGATAAGGCAACAGAGACAGAGAGGTTAAGTTACTTGGCCTAAGTCATATAGCTACAGCCAGGATTTGGACCCAGGCATATGTCTGGAAAATTCACCTCCCAACCAC